AAAATTTTATATGCTAACTTATTTCTATGCAATGCATTTAGGGAGATCCAAATGAAGAAAGAGCCGTCTGGTTTTTGGTTACACAAAGCTTCTGGCAGTCATTTTCCGTCTGTATATCTGGATTCTGACCCTGTACTATACTGACGATAGTCCTAAAGTCATAGTTGGTTGACTGAGCAAAAAGGGTTCATAAAATGCCCAGTGACATTTTATTTCATTTTAAAGTGAAACATAATAATGTGATGCTTTCCAACCAATATTCTTAAATGTCACCTAAAATCGGGGTATTTTAGACGCTTCTTCGTCATTCATCTGTTGGAGACAGCAAACATTGAGAACTTTTAAAAAGTCAATATTTGAAGAATGTCGGAAAAGGTTACTTTTGTTTTAAGAAGTAGAAAAAAAACTTATCAAGAAACGATTTCTTCAGTAGGAAAAAAAAGTGTTATAATTTTTAAACATAGTGTAAAATGTCGAAGCAAAAAAAATACAGAACTTTGGTAGAAAAATAAATGTAAGTCGTCAGTTTTCTTAGAGATAACAAACGGATTATTGAGAAATAGCAGTTGAAAAATTTGTTCAAAATTTATGTTGGGAAAAAACGAGACATTTTTTTTGGTGCTGCTGCTAGATGATCTGATGATCTGATGAATCTGATGAACTGTAGACGTCAGCACTGAAAACGCGGATATTTTGGTACCGAATGAATCACGACAGAACAGTCACCCAGCAATGGGATCAAAGTTTCTTAAATTCGTAAGGTAGTCTACTTCTGTAAGTCAACCGATGGATATTCCAATTTTGTAAAACGATGTTTTTGGATCACTTAACCAATGAGATAAATAAAAGTTTAGTTTAAAGTAAAAAGCAGCAAATTTTGGATATAAGCGGTGCTGTTTGCAAGGTTTGCATTTTACGGCTAAGCATATGATTTAAGTGTTGAACGGTTTTTTGATGATATCTGAGAGAGCTGAAAAGCAGAATTTTTTAGAAGAAGAGAGAAGAAAATGCGAAGAAAATGGCTGTCAGTGTACTAAAATGTTTCTCAAAGTACAATGATAAATTTATTGTTCTCAAAAATACGTTTTGTAAACCGAATGGGCGCAAAGAGAGGAAAAAGATTAAAACTTTGATTAATAGTTCTAAACAATAGAGCATAGACCAAATATATGTGGAAGTCAAATAAGTAGGCAGGAAGTTGTAGCTCGTTTCTGAAGATCACTTATATTTGACGACGTGACGCCTGGTCAGTGCTGAAGACCCGAGATTACTGTGGTGAAAGTATCCGCCCGTTTCTACGCCTCTTCTACTAACTTCTATGCCATTGAGATGTAACCAGTAATCTTAAAAGTAGTACTCATTCAGTGTTCAAATATAGGATTTGAAGTTTTTCGTAAATAGCAGTCAAAAAACGAGATTACTGTTGTTGGCTTTAATTCGTTGTCATACTCAATACTCAGTCAGCCGATGTTTACAACTCTGAACAATACGAACAGTAAATATCAAACAAAGAACTGGTCAGCAGAATTTTTGGAAACTCTGAAAACTGTTTTACCAGTTTATTTAAGAGAACTAATTATTTTTTATTCCGTTAAGCTAGTTTCAATAAATGTAATTCAAATTTGCCAAGAACACACATTTCTTTTGCAATTTTATATATTTTTTATTAAACTTGGTAATTGCAGCTGATAGCCCTAGTCACTTCTGTTAAATATA